GGAGAAAAAATAATCCGAGTGAGCGAGTGTACTCATTTGTGTGAGTGTACTCCGTGAGCGTACTCTGCGTGCGTGAGTTCGATTCCAACCCTGACGCATTTATAATTGCAGTTTAAATTTTTATTTTTTTCTCTCTCTCCCTGTAGTGGCATTGATTTTTCTCCACATTTAGAAACATGCATTTTGAGAATTTTGCTGCAATATATTTCCATATTTTAACCCACTAAGTTGAGCTATCATTTGTGTCCAGGTCGATTCTGAAAAAGAGCTATGCAGCTCAGATGGCCTCACCTGGTAAAATAAAAATAGTGTACTGTGTTTGAGGGTTTTCCAATTTAATTTCTTATTTAGCAGTTAAAGATTATGTTTCAGGAGGGTCCTGCATTTGACTGTTTGACCACCTCCAAATATATTTTGAGTTTAGGTTTGGGAGAAAAACGGAAAACCCAATGGAACACCAATGCCGACGGTGACGGCCGACGCCAGGATAACGGCCACGGGCTCGAAGCGGGGCAACCCGGCTCTTGTCCCAAGAAAGGAATCTGCTCCCCGCTGCCCTCCACGGTGGCGCATCGCCGGCGGGGCTGCACGCTGAGCCCCAACTTTTCCAGGAGGTCGGTAACAGCAATACACTCGTGGCATAACACGCTCGACACGTATAACTCCTGGTTACTCACCTGGTGTCCGAGGCGACCCTTAAGGGTGACCCTCCCCAGCAGTCCCATCCCACTTCCACTTGCAGTGTGCAGCGCACGATCCGGGGCCTGTCGGCGGCCCACTTCAACCCCGACCACGCTGCAATGTGTTGCACTCACGAGTGACATTACCGCCCCACGTGTCCAGCAGAATCCGGGTTTGCCGCCTGTTCACCTGCCCTTCCACGAGCGACGTGGCCCCCATTATTCCTGCCACCAGCTCCCGCAGCCAGTCACCCGCAGTCGCCGCATTCTGGGGTGTTGTCAATATCTGCGTGGGGGTCATTCGTCACCATTATCATGACAGTTTATTTGTGTTGGGACCACGTGGATTGCACCCCTCTGTGGTCCCCTCTTTAGGGAGGCCTTGGTGTTTAACCCTGGTGCTTCTCTCGCGCGGGCGATCTTGGGACTGTCTCTCACGAGATGCCCCCATTGGTCGCATAGATAGCACGCACGGGGAAGGGCGGTGGCTCCATAAGAGGCCCCTTGCCCACTCCCCCTTACCCTCCCAGTGCGCATTTGTTCGAGTTCTGCCTCTTATTGAGATACTCGCCTGGTTAGCCCCCCGACCATGGAGCGTAGCCCTCCCACCTCGGACTGGACTATCTCCGCTGTGGACTGCAGCTTGGTTACATTCAGGTGTACTTGGGTCACCTCCCCGCATACTTGGGTTACCTTTTCGCGTACTTGGGTCTCATGGCCTGTGAAATCTCCTATGCCGGTCTGTATCCCTGCCACCCATCCTGGGGTTGTCTCACGGGATCCCGGAGGCTCCCTCGTCCCCCCCCCCTCACCTCCTCCTCTGGAAGAAGACTTGCAATGGTGCTATCCTGTCCCAGCCGTCGGAATTCCGCACGCTCGCGAGCAAATCTCTCACACACGTGCGCGTGCTCGGCAAGGGTGTTAAATGGGGGATATGGGCAGTTCGCATCTGGCTGCCACCCCGTTGTGCTTGTCAGATTCTGCTGAACTTTCTCGGCGGCAAGGTCATCGATGATCTCGGCAGTGTATCCCGGGCGTGCGCTCTGTGTTAGCAAGCGTGATTTATTTTCGTGCGCGCTCACTGAGATCCGAAGTGAGAAGTTCACATCGTGGTTATTGTTGTCGTGGTGGTAGTTGTTGTTTACCCAGGTAGAGCCTCGCTCCTTCTCTGTCTTGTAGGGAGGCCGCTTTGGATTGCACTACTCTTCGATTTCACATTAACATGCTAATTTATTACATTAACATCACTAGCCCCGGCCACTTCTTTATGACCCTTGGGCTACACCCATTTCAAACCTTTTACAACAGTCTGCCTCAGCAGCAGACCATGCATTTTCTATCAGAGTGTTTTTGTTTGCATTCTGACCACAAGTATTGTGGTTAATGCACACATGATTCCTTGTAAAAGGTTTCAGTTTGGTGTTTTAACATCTTAACACCTGTTTCGTTGCCAGAAAAATGGGGAAAACCTATTCTCATATTTTGGTACTGGCAAAGGTCCCATGATAAAATATTGCAGTATATTAGAGGTGAGCCGTGCGTGTGTAGAAAGGACAGTAAGGAGCCGGAAGTTAATGAATTTTGTGGCAAAAATGCAGGCCTGATAATATGTAAGGATAATGTGGTAAATGAGAAAAATATAGCAGCAGCGGGGTGTTGGAGTGTGCAGGTGTTACAGGTGTTGAAGGTGAACAGGTAAGCTAAAAATTGTGTGAAAAACATAATAACTTACCCTTGAGTACGCATGGAATTTTTGATGTGTGTATGTTTCATTGTGTTGGCGCAATTTGGTTCTCAAAAAAACACGGTAAGTCTGCTTTATTTATATACATTTATACTCATCTTGGACTTTTTTCTATACGGTTTCTCCACATTTATTTCAGTAATTTCATTTATTGGGAATACAGTACAGTACTTATTTCAATTGTGATGTATATTTTATATGCCGTTTACCTAACCCCATTATTTAGGTAAGGCTTAAATGTTGAATATCGGCATTTTAGCTTTCGCACAGCACTTTCCAAGAATGTAACCTCCGCGCTATTCAAGGGGCTGCTGTATTTTCTGTCCATCAGCTATAGCACAGGAGTACGGATTTTCAGCAGGAACTAGATCTCTGCTTTTTTGGTGTAATTACGACCTATAATACTATAAAGAGGCTTGGGGTTTTGGATTGTTTTTTTGTTTTCGATGTCTCTGCCTCTGTTCACATTCGTTGAGTATTTTTATGATTTTAGGCAGACCCATCTAAAGCTGCGTGACCAGGAGTCAGGGCCCTTTCCTGTTCAATTTGGCTTGTGGCTGAAATTCTCTCTGGCCCATGCATTACATTACGTAGCATTTTCAAATAATGTGTTTTGAGAAGCTCACAATGGCCCTATAAAAAAAATTCATTTCATACAGTAACAATGATACGCTAATCGATGCCTGGTTATAGTCAAGGGATTGTCCCCTGCTGGTCAACCATGTTACGCATGTTGATGATCTGGTCATGGCTACTCAATGATATTAAATTGGAGAATCGTGTTCTGTACTTGGAGAATTCCATGACGAAATGGGGCCTTGCATATGTTCTACAAAAAGATCACCTCCTTGGGAAAATCTTGACTTAAAGCTTTCGTAACTGCAGGAATTCATATTCTTTGGGTCTTTCGGTTAAGTGACGTGACTTTACCGAAAGACCCAAAGAACACCTCCCTGGGAATTTAATGTCATACAGCACTGCACCTGCTCAGCTCTCCATGAATAATCAGGTCGTTCTACACATGGTGGAGGAGCTCCTATACCTCGTTAATGTGTTCACGACCAGCTCTGGTTTGACATCCAAAGTCTCACTTCAAATTAGTCTAGCAGCATTCTTTCATTAGGCTCTGTAACACTATGTGGAAGCTGCCTGGACTTTTTTACATACAAAGCTGTGAGTGTCCATTGCCAAGGTCTAGTCCATTGCAAAGGTTTTTTCCATTGCAAAGGTCACGTCAAAAAAACAGGCAATAGTCTACATTATAGACTGCCAGTACGCTCACCGAGGTTAAGAACCAGGCTACAGTCTACATTAGTCGTTTTTTTCTTCTATTCACTTTATTCGTATTATTATTTTTATCTACGTGACTTTACCGAAATAACCAAAGAATATGAATTCCCACTATCACAAGTTTTAAGTCAAGATTTTCCCATTGAGGTGATCTTTTTGTAGAACATATGCAAGGCCCCATTTCGTCATGGAATTCAACAGGTACAGAACAAGATTTTATAAGAATGGAAACAGTCAGGAAATTAACACTGCACATATGCAGCTGAAGTTAGATCTGTTCATCCTCGCATTCAAGCTCATCTGAGCCTGGCTTCACACCTCTAAGTTGCAAATAAAATTAATTTATACATTTCTGCATAATACAAATAATATTCTTTTCAACAGCCTTTGCTATATTAGCTACTTTTTCTTAAATACATATTCCTGTCGTAGCTAGACAACCGAAATTGTGTGCTTGGAGTTTTTGGTAAACATTCATTTTGAAGACACTAGGGTGTCCAGTCATATTTATGACCATTGGCCCTCTCATTGTGTGCCTTAACAGCCCGCGTGATGAATTGGGTAATTATTTTCACTATATCATGAAAATATTAATAAGTATAGATGTTTAAGTCATGTGTGACTGTGTATATATGCATTCATCTGTGCCTTGATACTGACGTAGATGGTGTGGATGTGTTTTTCTGTCTGCAGCTGACGCTTCCTCTGACTCTTCCTCTGCAGAATTGGTCTGATGGAGCAAAGGGACTCGACGCAGCTCGGTACAAGAAGGAAACAATGCGACCAGTATGCAAACAGCACGGATCGTACTGGAAGTTTGACACAGCACCAGAGAACTCACACAGGAGAGAAACCATTCAAGTGCATTGTGTGTGAGAAGGCATTTGCAAAGTCATCACATCTTCAGAGTCACCAGAGAACATACACGGAAGAGAAACTTTTCAAGTGCAGTTTGTGTGTTAAGGTATTTTCAGGTTCATCTCCTCTGAAACGACACCAGAAAGCACGCAGGAGAGAAACCCTTCAAGTGCACTATGTGTGAGAAGGCATTTGCACAGTCATCAAATCTTCAGAGCCACCAGAGAACACACACAGGGGAGAAACCCTTCAAGTGCACTGTGTGTGAGAAGGCATTTACAGAGTCATCACATCTAAAAACACACCAGAGAACGCACACAGGGGAGAAACCCTTCATGTGCACAGTGTGTGAGAAGGCATTTACAGAGTCATCACATCTTAAAATACACCAGAGAACACACACAGGAAAGAAACCCTTCAAGTGCACTATGTGTGAGAAGGCATTTACAGAGTCATCACATCTTAAAACACACCAGAGAATGCACACAGGGGAGAAACCCTTCAAGTGCACTATGTGTGAGAAGGCATTTGCAAAGTCATCAAATCTTCAGAGTCACCAGAGAACGCACACAGGAGAGAAACCCTTCAAGTGCACTATGTGTGAGAAGGCATTTACAGAGTCTTCACATCTTAAAAAACACCAGAGAACACACACTGGAGAGAAACCATTCAAGTGCACTGCGTGTGGAAGTGCATTTTCATGGTCATCAGATCTTCACAACCACCAGAGAATGCACACAGGAGATAAACCCTTCAAGTTCACTATGTGTGAGAAGGCATTTACAGAGTCATCAACTTTTCACGACCACCAGAGAATACACACAGGAGAGAAACCCTTCAAGTGCACTATGTGTGAGAAGGCATTTGCAAAGTCATCAAATCTTCAGAGTCACCAGAGAACGCACACAGGAGAGAAACCCTTCAAGTGCACTGTGTGTGAGAAGGCATTTGCAAAGTCATCAAATCTTCACAACCACTAGAGAACGCACACAGGAGAGAAACCCTTCAAGTGCACTGTGTGATAAGGCATTTGCAAAGTCATCAAATCTTCAGAGTCACCAGAGAACGCACACAGGAGAGAAACCCTTCAAGTGCACTATGTGTGAGAAGGCATTACAGAGTCATCACATCTTAAAAAACACCAGAGAACACACACAGGAGATAAACCCTTCAAGTGCACTATGTGTGAGAAGGCATTTGCAACGTCATCAATTCTTCAGAGTCACCAGAGAACGCACACAGGAGTTAAACCTTCAAGTGCACTATGTGTGAGAAGGCATTTGCAACGTCATCAATTCTTCAGAGTCACCAGAGAATACACACCGGCGAGAAACCCTTCAAGTTCACTATGTGTGAGAAGGCATTTGCAAAGTCATCAAATCTTCAGAGTCACCAGAGAACGCACACAGGAGAGAAACCCTTCAAGTGCACTGTGTGTGAGAAGGCATTTACAGAGTCATCACATCTAAAAACACACCAGAGAACGCATACAGGGGAGAAACCCTTCATGTGTACTGTGTGTGGAAGTGCATTTGCAACATTATTAAATCTTCACGACCACCAGAGAACACACACAGGGGAGAAACCCTTCAAGTGCACTATGTGTGAGAAGGCATTTACAGAGTCATCAATTCTTCACGACCACCAGAGAACACACACAGGAGAGAAACCCTTTAAGTGCACTGTGTGTGGGAAGGCATTTGCACGGTCATCACATCTTCAAAGACACCACAGAACACACAGGCATCAGAAGATCCCCAAGGAGCGGAGTCTGAAATCGGCTTGTGCAAGTCCAAGTGCTGCAATGAGCTCATCCCTGCTGAAAAAAGAACCTGAATTTTATTCCAGCTTGGACGCAATGAAATGTATCAAGGTGGATTTTGAAGAGGTGAAATGTGAAGAAGTGATGGTAAAATGTGAAGATGAAGATTCAACTCCAAAATCGGACCTTCACATCGATGTAGGCAACGTGAAGCAGGAGGAGAATTCTGCCTGTGAGGCAGAGCGAGGTAACTCCCAGGAGTTTGTGGAAGTGGAGGTGTGGGTGGACTTCTTAGACAATACAAAGTCAAATGCAGACCCGGTAGATGTGTAAGCTTGAGACAATGAAGCTCCAATAAATGCACTTTTGTCACAGACTAAAAGAACACCAAAGAAAGTACTGTCTGTGAAAAGACATTTGCACGGTCATCAGTTTTTCAGATCCACCAGAGAACACACGGAGAAACCCTTCATGTGCAGTGTGTGTGGGAAGGAATTTTCAGGTTCACCTGCTCTTAAAAATCACCAGAGAACACAGGTGTAATGATTGTGGTGTCGCTGGTGTGCACAGACGCACACGTGTGACGTCACTGCGTTACTATCACGTGGGTCTACACACACACATGACGTCATCCCGGCTGGAGGCGGGAATGACGTCAGGGCCGTGCTGGACACGTGACCGAATCCGAGTGGGGGGCTGGGGGCCAAGGGGACCTCGGGGGCACGTGGACAGCAGGGGGGCTTCGAGAGGGTGCTCGAAGGGTGGCGTGGCCGGGGTGAGGCCGGGCACGCCGAGGCCCATATAAGCAGCCTCCTCAGGGGGTTCGAGGCTGCCCGTGCTGAGAATGAAGACACCTCGTGAAGATGCCAAGAGAGAAGGCCTACAGTGAGCGGACCGCCACAGCCACCTGGCTGGGTCACGCTAGAGTAGCTAAGAGAGAAGTGTGTCTTAGCTAGGGTAGGTCGGTGGTCACACCCTATGTGTAAAGTAAGAGTAACTGTTGAGTCACTGTTGTGTTCATTAAGAAATGAGTGTTGCATCCCAAGAAGTGTGTGCGCCTAATATGAACCCATTACACAGGCATCAGAAGATCCCAGGAGCAGAGGCTTGTGAAGTCAAAAGTGCTGCCAGGCGCCCATCCTTAATGATAAGAACTACAAGAAAATCCCAGCTTGGACACTTTAAAATGTATCAAGGTGAAATTTGAAGAGGCGTAGGTGAAATGTGAAGATGCGGCAGTGAAGAGCGACGAAGTGACGGTAAATGTGAAAATGAAGATTCAACTACAAAATCGGACCTTCACACCGATGGAGTGGCAACGTGTAGCAGGAGAAGAATTCTGACTGTGAGGCCGAGCGAGGCACCTCCCAGTAGTTTGTGGGAGTGGAGGTGTGGCTGGACTTCTTAAACAATACAAAGTCAAATGGAGACCCGGTAGATGTGTAAGCTTGAGACAATGAAGCTCCAATAGATTCACCTTTGTCACATGCCTTTAATTAAAATAACGTGAAGTTGCACACTCAATTCCTAGGTTCAACCTGCAGAGTAAGAGCAGCCAGTATTTGTGGACATATGGGTTGGGTAGATCTCTAACCAGGAGTAAGAGCCAATAAGCTCCCAAGCATTCACTATATTGTGATAATATTTGCATTCATCTGGAGCTTAATTGCCCATAATAAGAACGCGTTAATTTCAATGTTTGGTGAAACCCGCCACTACGCGATTTGTTCTCCAACACACCGGTCTGCTGTACTAGTGTAGTGTAATAACGCCGATTGTTGTCCAGCAACGGCAACTGCGGTGGACAAATAATACACACGCCAGTGAGCATATACACGGGTTAGTCGGCAGGGCAGAAAAACTGGGGCAAGGGTCATGGAAGACCCCATCTGGAAGCTCCTGGAACATGCTTGTGGTTATCGAGAAGGGAGGCGCGGCCAGGGCAGAGCCAAGCCACACTGGGTAGCATAAAGCAGCTGAGAGTGGGAGCTCAGGCTGTCAGTTTTGGGAGTGGCTCATCTCATCGTGGCTGTCATCTTCGCCGCCTTCGTCAATACCGTCTTGGCAAGATATTGCACGGCCGGATAGTTGTTGGTTGTCTCGGTCAGCACCATTGGTGTACATGATCAGGGTTGTGTTTATAAGGTGGCCGGGAAATTCAGGGCCACGAGGCCCGCCAGCATTGGCCCAAAGTGGAGGCTTGGCCGTGGCGGGAGGAGGACTTGGTGGCTGTGGTGTGCGGCCTGGGGACGCACGGGAGAAGGCCCCGCGGGTGGGTTGGCAACCGGCGAAGCCCCCTCCGCCCTGGGGTCCCACGGCCAAGTGTTTCAGGTGTGGTCAGCCGAGCCACATCGCCATAGAATGCCGGGGTGTCAGTAGGGTGCGCGCAGTGCCTCCGTAGCACTCTGACCTGCCGGCAACATTTTCCCAAGCTGCACCGGATCGAGTCTCTGATGCTTTCCGTGACTGCCGTGTGCAAAGTGTCAGGGGCTGGATCCGATTAAATGCTACTTAGGATTTCAGGGACGGGCCATGCCCTTAGGCCATTGTTTTTTTGTTCCCATTCCTCGGAATCCCAAGGAATGCAAAACCCTGCCAAGGCGGGGGTGACCAGTGTCGAGGACCGGCTCACGTGAGCTATGTTCTGGTAAAGGCGGACTCTCCCTTGTAAGGTGAGATTCGGGGGGTTGTGTATATTGTTTGGCTTGTGTTATCGGTTCTCATGGGGGAAGGGAGGCGTCACGGTTATGCGTTCCTTGATGGGGTTCTTGCCCATGCCGCAGTTGCGCTGTGTGGTTATGGTTCGCGGGAGACGCTGCGGTTGTGCTGTATGGTCGCGGGAAGTGTTGCAACCAAGGTTTTTTTTTTTGGGGTAAATTGTTTTTTTGTGTTGGTGGTGTTCTCGGGTTGGGGTTGCTCTTCCTGTCCACCGGTTGCAGTTGCAACGGCAACTGCGGTGGACAAATAATACACACGCCGGTGAGCATATACACGAATGTGTCGGCAGGGGAGGAACTGGGGCAAGGGTCATGGAAGACCCTATCTGGAAGCCCCTGGAACCTGCTAGAGGGTTCGAGAAGAAAGGCGCGACCAATGCGGAGCCAGGCCACGCTGGGTACAATAAAAGCAGCTGATAGCGGGAGCTCAGCGCTGCCTGTGCTGTGAGTGTGCTCGTATCGTCGTCGCTGTCATCTTCGCTAGATATTGTGCGGCCGGATAGTTGTTGACTGTCTCGATCAGCGCCATCGGTGTTACACGGTCAGGGTTGGGATTTAGGCTAGGCTAGACGACTAGAGAGCGAATTTCTATTTACGTGACCCAAAAAAAATCTTATGGATGATATTGGTCGCGACAGCCTACGTGTTAAACTTGCTTAATTGCCTCAGGAATTCGGAGTTTTGTATCATATCTCATCACAAACACTCGAAGAGCACCCCTATGTGGCAGCTGCCTCTGTGTGGCATAAGGTGTCCCAGCACCAGCCTGCATGTGGGCATGAGTCTGTCAGTCAGGGGCGATAATTGATGTGTAATCTCAGTTGTGCATTTTCTGGATAATTTTTGGAATTTCCCAAATTTGTACAATGACACCAACATGCAAAGACCTATGTGTTTTTAATGACACAATAGTATGTTTTACATCCACTCTTTAAGCAGACGGTGCATATTTTGGTTGATGTTACTGGAGTAGCCAGGGGTGCCTGTCGGATTTGAACCTTGAACCTCTGCAATAAATCGAGAATGCGCTACCACTTGGCTTCCCTCAATCTGAGTGGAGGCATGCCAGCCAGTGTTTCTAACCAGCGCAGATGTTCCATTTAGAGGGGTGCACGTTTCACATTCCTACAGATTGGAGGGCATGACTGTTGCCGAGAAGACCCGGAGCTTCATGCAGAGCGACAGGCCAGGTAGCTTCCACACAGCATTGCAGAGCTGATGAAAAGATAATGCCGCCCGACTGATTCGGACCACCCAAACACTGTACACATACGCAGGGTAGACGTATTGTGTACACACAATGTATATACAGCGTACACACAGTCTGCACATACATATATACACAAACACTAACAAAAACAATGACTGCCATTCGCCAATACGTGGTGGTGAAGTCACCATGGCGCTTGTGCCAGGCTATGTGCACGTTAAG